GAGTAAAGCTGTACCATCAAACACAGTGATAGAAAACATTGACAGCGCAGGACACATGTTTGCATTGATTGAAAACCTCTTTCCACTGGCTCTCTGTAGGCCAGTGCATATGCAAACTGGCACAATTGCAGTACCATAAATTAAGCATAAAGCAGGATAGTGAGCAAAACACCCCCACAAGCAAAACCACAGTTCACACCAGGTCTGTAACACCGTCATAAATTACGGTATGTGTTTAGCATCTTCAACTTTATTTTCATTTGAGAAAAGTAGCAGCATGGCTGCTAGCCAACGCCTTAGTTATTGCACCTATTGTTTAAACATACTCACTGCAAAAATAATGTTGGCACTAAACAAAGCCCATTGTTCTCCATTGTGTATTCTTATCTGGCAATACAACTGCGTTTTACATCTGAAAACTAAAGTCTACACAGATAATACTACTCATGAGGTTCAGGTTCAGTTGTGATAGATAATCTGGCGGCTTCACAATAGATCTCATTTTTTTCATTTAGTTGAAACATGTTTACCATAAGAGGATTTGTCTCTACTTCTGAGCCATATAAAAAATGTATTTGACATTTATGTGGTATTTAAAAACCAACTCTTCACACAAAAATTTAAATCCTCCTGATTTAAAAAAAGTGAGATGCAAAAAGGAGAGACAAGAACTTGGATCTAATGTTTCTACATGTTAAAACCAGTGTTGGGATTTTTACTCCAGAAAATCAATGTATCATTACTTTTCTTAAGCGTAATGCAGTATGTTACTTAATTACTCACTGGAGAAAGTAATTTGTTACACAACTCATTATATTACTTTCTCATTAGTCCTTAAAATGAGCCGAAACACACCGTTTCATAATTATCAGTTAACAATACAAACCTCGTGTTAGTCTGTGGGACTGTAATCTGAATCCCAATTCTAATGAGAACATAACTAGTCTTTGTTTTAGTTTAGTTAAAGCAAAGTTGAAAATCAGTTGAAAATCAGCCCAAAGAGATAGGATCGTCACACTGTTTCATACTCCAAACACAAATGACTCATCACTACTTTTGATACCTGTTTTAAGTTCAGAATCTGCCTGCTGGGTTGGGGGTCGGCATACACTCAGCTTTAAAATCCCTCTGTGTTCTTGGCTAGCTTTGCGTTAGCATGCTGTCTGTGCAAACGTTCTGTTATCAGTAAAATCCATTTGTTTCTGTCTTGGATGCAGTTTCCACTTTACTATTAAGCTCTTGTCCTTCTGTGCTATAAAAATACAAGTAATGTGCATATCTCTACTCCTCAAAAGCTGTAGCCCTGCACACAAACTGAAATCAAATGATTGTAGCCCATTTACACAGGGGGAAAAGGCTGTTTGTTTGATGTTTTGTTTTTATTTTTTATTCCTCAGGCCAGATAACTGGATAACCTTTGTAACACAAGTAACAACATAATTAAAAATGAATTAAAAAAAGATTTAAATGACTGAATTTAACCCTTGTATGGTGTTCGGGTCTGTGAGACCCGTGTTCAGTTTTTGTCAAAAGAAAAATTAAACAATTAATTATTTTTTCACGTGTAAATGTGTTGTGTCTTTCCACTCACTCCACTTGATTATAACTGATTTATTTATAACATTTTATATAAAAGAAAAACGAGAAGCACATTAATTCATAAATGTGATCTAACAAAGGTAAAGGGAAAAAATTAACCATGTTTGCTGTTCATATGTCTTGTAATGGGGATGAAGTAAACATCTGTTGAGTAATTTAACATAAAATTGTTTGATAGTGTTAATTTGGAAAGCCAAAACTCTAGCGGGTCCACCAGACCCATGAACACTGGCTGAGTAACAAAAATACAAACACCACACAAGGGTTAATAGTAATCCGTTACTTCACTGTTACTGAAAAATGTAATGCAATTAGAGTAATGCATTACATGTAATGCATTACACCCAACACTGGTTACCCGACACTTTGTATTTAACCACAAACTATTATCAATATTATCTTTGTCATGTCTTCTTCCAAGAAACCAGTAATGTTGAGTCCTGTCAGTACTCAAAGTTCAGTAGTTCATCCCTAAAGTGACAGCAGAGAGTTAGTTTGTGTGATCCATATGTTGGCAATAACCAGCTGATAAGTTTGAGTCAGTTTTGAGTCTCGGGTATAACTAGTCAAGCAGAAATCCACAACAACTGCCTCAAGGCATTTTACATTGTAAGGTAAAGACCCTACAACAATATAGTTCAAATCAAGAGTTGGCTTGAGGTAAAGGGTTTTTTGGGAGATGAGGTAACTGTGGCATTGGAAAAGACGCCGTGAGTTTAGGAACGACTTGTATAATTAGACAGGACATTCTTGGTGAAGTGAGCATCCCTGCCTCAGGGTCGATAGTCAGCAACAAGAGTGTGCAAAGATTAAATATTAATGCCCAAATGAAACAGAAACTGAAACACAGAGAACTTGAAGGAAAAAAACCACTATAAGATTATTATTATTGTGAAAAAGTCCCTGACATAATGGAACAGATGCTGTCGCTGTAACTAAAAAACTGTGGTTCAGCTTGGGCCACTGCAGTCAAAAGCATTGTTATTTTCGTCACCACTGTCTGTTATGTGACTTCCCCACCCAGAGCAGCAGCAAGACCCCAACACTGAACAGAGCAGACATTATTAACAAGGCATTGGATTGCAGCTTAAATAACCTGCGGTGTTAGGGATTTTCCTGTTGGATGCCTGAAGCGGGATAGTACTCAGATCAGCTGATCTCTCGGGATGGTGGCTGATTTCACCTCGAACAGTGCTAGTGCTGTGCTTGATTTAATGAAGAATAAGTAAGTGAACCTTGAAGAGAGATCATTTTGTCAGCATACACAAAACATTTGCTCAGCGCTGATCTGGTCAGTGTTGGAATTTTATGGTACTTCAGCACAGAAGAACATTGAGAGTATATGTGTGAAAATATTGGAAATCATTATAAAGCATCCATAAGGTTGCTGTGGGCAGCTGTCAGCTATTCTCCAAGGTTTTGTCATGTTTATGTCACTCTTTCTTAAGAGCAGGTAGCTGAGCTGCCCACTTACCAGTTTCAGCCCCTATTACCAGCAAAATGGCATTTAAAAGAATTTAAAAACTGCTCTAGACCTAATCAGATTTAGCTTAATGCTGGGCACTGACAGCTTATTTGGATGCGCGAAAAGTGACATGTGACAAAGCTTCTAAACCAGAAGACTGTGATTTAACAGTTAACCAATCAAAAATGTGATTCCAGTAAGTAAAATCAGTAAGAAATCAGCAATCAGTGGTTATTTAAGCTTGTAAATAACCACTAAGGGTGGAGTGGGTCATTTACTAATTGGAGGGTTGGTGGTTTGTTTCCTGGCTGCTTCAGTCTACATACCAAAGTGTCCTTGGGCAAGATTAAACCATGAGTTGCTCGAGTTGAAAAGCATAATAAGAGCCAGTCTATTTATCATTCATTTAATTCTTTTTAATTTGGTGGCATTCTTCTAGGACCAGCAGCAAGACACTGCTTTAGTTAAAAACTTGTTTAAAAGGAGGAGTTGGGGCCAAGATGGGTTGCAAAGGGGCTTGCAGGTAGTAGCCACTGCGGGTGCACTAAAGCAACTCTAGTACTAAGCTCTATGTGAAGTTTTCTAAGAGGATTGGCTGAGATTGTCCCTGTGGCCAGCATTTTCAATCGGTAAATTGACTGAACAGGCAGAAGCGTCAGTGAAACATTTCATCTACACAAACAAAAGGCAAAAATATATTTGTTCCAGATATTTCTTCTGGGGGAGTTAGTTTGGACTGTGATGAAAGAAACCTCTGTTTTACTTGACAGTTATCTGACACTAATTCCTTTCAGCACTTTCACTTCTGCTGACATTTAATATAATTTCAGCTGACACTCAGTATCCCTTTCACTTTACCAGATGAAGCACTTTAATCACACTGTTTAGATGCACTTTGTATAACATCTGCAATGCATATCATGATAATAGGAAGGAACATTTACTGCTTTAGTTGATATGAAGCAATGACGGTTCATCATGTTTGAGCCGATCACATCATGTATCATCAGCTCAGCTGTGACAGAGATTCTCCTGATTTGTATTCAGCAACAGTGGACTCATTGTTTTTGTCAGAAGGTAATGAGTAAGAGAACAAAGCCCACCAGTGATAGCTTCTCATTTACTTTTTATCAAATCGTACTCTTCTTGCCAAAGATTCATTTAATTAAAAGTGCTAATCTTTCAGCTTATGCCTCCAGGTAGACATGGAGATATGAAGTGACACGTAAGGCATTCCCCACTCCCACCACAGATTCTCTTCTAGCTCAGAGCAGCTTCAAGCTTGGGTTGGCTCAGCAGCTCTTGGCAGCAGGTTGGACGAGCAGGAAGTATGGGTGGATGAATGGAAGGAGTTTAGGAGATGTGCTAGATGTGGTCAGTTGGGTCGATTATGGCTGGGCAGCGAAGTAAGCGATTTCCCCTCGCTTCCATCTTTAAGTCAAACATCAACTCGGCTCCCCATCCATTGGGCACCGTCATTTTAACCAAAAATAACACTTAAATTACCAGTTGGATGGCTGGCTGACTGCCTGGCAGGGATTTCTGTCATTTCCAATGTAATTAGGGTGTAAGAGGAGCCAGAAGAGAGCCTGGCGCCAGGCTGAATAATACAGGCGAGGTGTAGGAGCACTGATGGATAATTTAACATGACTGTCCAGAAGTCAGCTACATCTTGCAGTACCTGAGTGCACTGCAGAAAGAATGTGTCATGTGTTCTTAAGTGAAAAATGTTAAAACAGACCGTCAGATTTCCATAACAATAATAAATCTTTGTTTACTTCTTGTTGTAGAAAAATGCTTTTATCTGTGATGAATTATGTGCAATGCTCATCGGGGCGCACCGGAGACAGAATTACTATTCATAGCATTCATATGAAATTATGTTTGCTGATAAGCTGCATTTTGCTTATTTATGTGTATCCCTCCTCTCCCGCAGATAATTTTCCGCAAGATCAGTGAGGTGAAGAAGGAGGAGGAGGAGAGACAGCGAGCGAAGAACGAGGTACAGCTCACCATCCCACAGGACCATCCTGTCCGGAAGCTTTTCCAGAAGTTCAAGCAGCAGAAGGAGCTCCGCAACCAAGGAGCCGCAGCTGCCTCGCAACTAGACCTGGAGAAGAACCAGCTGCAGGTGGAGCACCACCAGCACCTGCATCCTCACACCCTGCAGCTCGGCCACTCCAGTCTGCAGCACTCCCTGCCGCTCACCCTGCAGCGGCCCCTCACCTCCATGCAGAACGGGGCTCCACCCAGCAGCAGCGTTCTGACTGTGTCTCAGGTCACACCCATGCAGAGCTCTCTGGCTTACGGCCATCCCAGCGAGGCACCTGCAAAGCAGAACAACTGTGACATCATGGAGCTGCAGCCCAGTTCTGCTGGAGGGGGCAGCGAGCAAACTGTCAGGCTCAAAGTCAGCACCAGCCCTGCGCTTGGAAAGCCGGCCGCCAAGGCGAGTGGCTGGATGCGCCTCAAAAACAACATGGCTCCGGCGGAGACGAGGAAGGAGGGTCTTAACAACAATGTCAAAGCTGTTTCCGTGGAGATGCTCTCTCAGGACGGTAAAGGTCGGGAAACAGGGGGGAGCAGGGATGGAGAGGAAGGTGGGGTCTCCAGCAACAACCCACTTCGCAAGACGGACTCCTGTGACAGTGGAATCACTAAGAGCGAGCTGCGCATCGACCGGGCAGGGGAGCCGCGGACCCCAGCGGCAGTTACCCCACTTCTCCACAGCCCTCTTCCCGGAGGAGTGGGGTCCCCTCACTCTTTCTGCCCCATACCGGAACAGGCCCTGCAGGCTGCATTGCACGAGACCCGGATGGAGCTCCGGGGGGACATCCAGACTCTGGGAGGCCGTCTGGGCGCCCTGGAGAGTCAGGTAGCTGAAATTATCAAACTTCTGTCGGATAAGAGACAGCCGTCCACGGGGGCGCCACCTGCCTCTGCCACGCCCAAAACCAAAATACAACGGCAAGACATTTTCACCGTCTCCAGGCCCGTTTCTCCAGACTCAGAGAAAGACGACGGGCTCTGAAGAGAGCTGAACCAGCGGTGCAGAGTGCGCACTGGACTAACAGAGATTATATTAACATTAGCTCTATCAATTCAAGGTTACTCTCATTTTTGGGCATCCTCTTGGACTCTCGTACACCGCTGGTCTCAATTCCAAATTGAAAAAAAAAAAAACTGGCTTCTTGTTTGCACACTGATTTTTTTTGTCTCCAGGTGATGTGAGAGTCTTTACTCTCCAGTCACCCGGACTCTGGTTTCTTTTTGATTGTACATACCTCTCTATGCATGTCCAGCTGGATTCTGGCCTGCCAAAGAAACAACTACTAAACGTACTTATTGCCTGTATATTATGCAGTTGACTGCATGCAAATAAGATTCAAAGAGACATTTTATTGAGCTACACTGTACATATAAATATTTTTCATTGATGAATTTACTATGTGGACATTCAGGGTTTGCATACTAGTAGCACTATAAACATTGAATATCTCAAAGGGTTTACAGGCAGATGGATTGTGCATGGATTATTTATACATAGAGAAGTTATAAGGGGACAGAGGTTTTGTTTCATTTCTTTTGCCTGTCAGATGAAGCAGATGTGTGATTCTGTTCTCTCGCCACAGAGATGCTCGGATGTGAGGATCAGCATCTGTTAAAACAGGGAGGGAAATTTCTGATATGTTTTTCTAATATATATATAATAATAATAATAATAATGATCATTGATTTCTATTTTTGATTACAGAAATGCCCTTGGCCTCAGTTTGATATGTAAACCCTGAAAAATGCTTGTTTTGTTTGAGCCCTCCTTGTGTCTATGCATCACTCGGGTACGCTGCCAGAATATTGTACCTTTGTAATCTCGTTGATGAATGATGTTTTTTGTTTAGTTTTCTTTGGGGTTTTTTGTTCCATTCCTCTGCATGAATCAGGGATGGCAGAATGCACTTTTGGGTAAAGTTGGGGTGACAAGAAGGCTTTGGGGAAATAACACAGTTCACGCAAAAGTCCACTCAGCACAGTGACATGTAATCCCACGGCCCCAGCAACACACACGGCAGTCTTAACCAGCTAGCGTCTCTCTGAAGCCTGCTCTGAATTCCATTAACTAAGCAGCAACAGCTTTGCCTCAAAGCTAGCAAGTCATAAAAATGGAATAGTGTACTTTCTATGATATAATTTTTTGTAAAAAATCTGCATGTGAAGGAGCAGTTTTATGCTCCGCTTACAAATACACGTGTGAGAAGTGACACATTTGCTTCATGCATACACATGCAGTGTGAAGGCGTCTCGTGGTGTGAACCCTGAAGGCTCGCAAAGACCTTTTCTTCACACAAGGCAGATCAGTTGGTTTGTCAGAAGTCACAGTCTTTTCAGGTCCTCTGTGAATTGGACAATGTCCCTCCTCCTACCAGCGCTCATTCCCTGAAAAAACACACACACACACTCTCAGAATCATATTTAATAAGACAATGATAAGAACACAAATGTACAGTAGCCCTCATGAAAGTTTTATAAACATTTAATTATTTTCTGGTGGTTATATCAAATGAATAGCTGAATGAATAGTAAGTTAAATAGTTAACAGTAGTAAATATGCCAAAAAGTAAAGAATTAGATTCAAAACTGAGGATTTTGCAGTTTGTCCTCTGCACAGTGAATGGTTTGGTTTAAACACAAGAACCTGTTTTGATGCTGCTGCAAAGTATCTTCTAACAAGCACTTGGCGACAGTAGGAAGGAAAAACTCCCTTTTAGCAGGAAGAAACCTCTGGATGTTGCTTCCTCTGCCCAGGGAGCGACAGCCATCTGCTGGGACCAGTTGGGAGTGAAGGGAGGGCGACAGGACAAAAAAAAGAGATACTCCATTATAGGTTAACCCTATGCCATAACCTTCCAAGCCATTCAGTCAATCCAGGCTTTGTTGACCCAAGCTTAGAAATAGGGTTAAAAGGGATTCATGCCTATCATACAAGTTCTCTTGTAGATTTCCTGCTGCTGAAGGCTAAATCAGTCCTTAGAGGGAACCTGCATGCAATTATTTCTATATCATATTAAAATCAATCCTCTCAATATTTAGCCTCGCTTTACATCTTTGCTGAGCTTCTGATAAGCATAGATAATCTCTATCATCTCCCATGTGAACAAATAGGAGTACAAACCCTAAAGATGTCTTCCAGGAGGCTGTTAGGAACAAGTCTTACCTCTTTGGATTCACATTAACCAGACTAATGCATCATATTGAACTTGATTGACTGTCAGAATGTCACACTGCTGATCCAGGAAATCTACAGACAAGACAAATTAGTAGCTTAGGCAACACCAAGGAGATACATGCAAGTTCCAAAGCGATCGCCCTCCATTGTCGACATAAAACATGTAGTCTAGAAAGTGGTGAAATGTAATCAATTGTTACTCTATGGATGAATGTACACTGCTTGATTTGTAAAGTAGAAGTGACCAATAGAATTCTAACAAATCAGAACCTAGATGCCTTTCAGTGGTGCTATCGGCACCATGTCTTCTTTCTGTTCTCACACCTCATCTCTGCCCCCTTTGCGTGCCGTTAGGATTCACAGCAGAAATTTAAACCATCATGACTGCACAAACTGATATAGTGACCATTTCAAAAGACATATATTGTGCTGTCTGATCTTGACTGACACCCATGCTTGAAAAATAACAAATTAAGGGACGTTTTGCTATAATTTTAATGAGCCCAGTTACAACTCTTGATTTTTATTCTGGAGAAACTTCACCAAAACAATTGTCATTTTTGGTGCAACAAAAACGAAGCATTTATTCTGAATGTTCCTGCCATTTCTCGTGATTATAGGTGTGAAGGCTCATTCAGATTCATTTCTCTCTGTTCTCTACAGGCAGAAAAATAATGAGAAATTATAACTTTATGATGCTAATTGGCATAAAATCACAGTAGTCCGAGTTAGACATTAGATTTCTGTCACGACATGCTAATCAGGTTGTTCAATTTGGAAAGAATACAGTTTTAATGGCTGCAGTTATGCAAATGACAACATTTAATTTAAATTGGAAATTCATCCTGTCAGCACAGGCCCATTCCCTCTACCAAAATCTTTTTTTACACTCACACTTGGTCACTTGCCACGGCGGGCCATATACTCTGTGCTTCAGGCCGCTAAGCAGATCCCCTGCTGGAATCAGCAGCAAGTGCCTTGCTCAGGGGAAACGCAGCAGCATTTTCAGTCAACTTGGCTCCAGTGATTGTTGTAGAAATCATCTTCAGTGATGGCTACCAATGTATGTGTGTAGTGCAAAACATGCCAGTGTGCTTCACGTCACTTAACAGTTGGAGTCAATATCACACAAAGCAAGATATTATAGTAATTATTCAAAGTATATCCATCAGGGGGGTTTCACATTGATCTCTTGCTTCAGCTTTGGACAAGAGATCTTGAAAACATCAAAACTCTCAAGCTAAATGCTACATTCCACATATTGGCTTGCGTATATTCAAAGTTCTCCAACTGAAGCTGTGAAATTCAGTTTAAGATCTGGTTTTGTTCACACTTTGCAATGTGCACGGTGAGACCTACCAAACAAGCTTATTTAGCCACAGTAACATAGTACAAGACAAAAATACACAGCGGTCATTAATGTTTGTGGATCTGCAGATGGTAGTGTGTGAAAGGGTTTTGTAGTTTGACCAACTGGGCATGACTCACTGTGGCTTTACCCCCACCATACGCTCAGCTACCAACAAAGACTCTTCTATGGAAATGTTAAAAGCTTTTTGGGAAACTAGGAAATCACTTACTGACACAGCAGGAGGAGGAGTGAGTGCAGCAGTAAAATTAATTACTTAATAGCTCTCAGAAAGTACCAAACATCCCAGACTTTTTCTCTTCTTAAGTCTAGGGAGAATCTGAAAGACGTGTTTTGTCGGATGTTATCATATTAGAATTTATAACAAAAATAAAGCCACAATACAAGACAAGGCCAACTCCTTAGAAAGGGATCATTTCTTTACATTTGTGGCTATTGAGGAGTCTAATATGTTTTCTCAAAAAGACATGAGATCAATGTCACATACTCGTGTTTGGAGTATATCACATGCTGTTTTTCTCTACCTGAAAGATTTTCCTCACAGACAAATACAGCACGTGCTAAAAAAAAAAAAGAATTAGAGTACTTCCTTAACCTAAAAGTATCACGTTAGGGTCAACTTTTCACCCAGAACATCACCTATAATTGATTCAAAAATATCTTCTTAAAATTATTCAGTGCAATAAAATATGTGTTAGAATAAATATCCATTAAGCAAAGAGTACAATGTATCAAACATGGAACTAAAATGTGTATTTTTATTTTAAAAAAACCCACATTATTCATACCCCAAATAAACAGCTTGGTTTCATTTATAACTGACTTGTTCAGGATCTCTTGCTGTCACTAAGTAGCATTGCTTTTCAATGCGAGGGGTTAAAGAATGTATTTTATAAACACTTAAATGCCACTTTTTTAGATACACTTGTTCAACTGCTTATTAACAAAATATCTAATCAGCCAAACACATGGCGGCTCCTCAATGCATGTGGGCACATAGGGATGGTCAAGGCGACCATCTGAAGCTCAAAGTGAGCATCAGAATAAGAAAGAAAGGTGGTTTAAGTGAGTTTGATAGTGACGTGTTTGTTGGTGCTAGACGCGCAGGTCTGAGGCTTTCAGAAACTGCTGATCTACTGAAAGTTTCCCACATAGGTATTACTAGGGTTTGCTGATGAGAGAAAAATGGCCAAGCTACATCGAGCTGATAGAAAGGCAACAGTAATAATCACTTGTTACAACCCAGGTATGCTGATAAACATCTCTGAATGGACAACACATTGAACCTTGGAGTAGGTGTAAGCATGGATTCATCCTACCTTGTATGAATATTTCAGGCTAATAGTGGTGGTGGAAGGATGTAAGGGGTATTTTCTTTGCACATTTTGGGCCCTTTAGTATGAATATAGCATCATGTTAATGTCAACACCCTACCTGTGTTGTTGCTGACTGTGTCCATCCCTTTATGATCAGTGTAGCCATCTCCTGACGGCTGCAGGATAACGGGCTATGTGACAAAGCTAAAAAAAAATTGAAGATGATCTCAAACTGCTCTGGTGAACGCAACAGTGAGTTCATTGTACTGAAACGGCCTCCACAG